TATAACTAGTACAACACAAAGTAGTAAACCATTCTACAAGTAAAGTAAGTTCTAGTAGCAAAGTTGAAAGCTACTACTTGCAAGTGGATAGTCAAGTGGTAGAAAATATCTCTAAATATCTTGTAGAATATCTAGTAAGTTTGGCTATAAATAGAGCCAATTTGTAAGAGAAATATGTGGGAATAAATGAAGGATTTGTAATAAAAAAACCATCTTTAACAATGTAGAAATTCAAAGCTCCTTCCTCCTCTGATCTGTTCTTCAAGAATAGCAGAGTATATGCATAAATTTATATGTTTTTCTTATATTTTATGCTTGTAAAAAGACCGGTAAGCTATGCATTAACCGGTACACAATCCATGTTTTGTTAAGTCTTCAATACACTCCTCTATACACAAAATCAAAGCTGTTAAGGGCTCTCTTAAAAGAGTCTTAGATTAATGTCCAAATCCCAACAAGCCACCATTGATTTACCATTCGAAATGGTCCGCTACCTTAAAATTGCCTTTGACGAGCTTCAACCAAGAATCATTTGTTTGTTGGAAGATTTCTCACCGGACTGGGTTATTGGTGATTTTGCTCAAAACTAGTTGTACATGGAAGCTGCTAAGCGTAACATTTTTCAGTATATTTACTGCAACTTTTTTGAGCGTTACTTGCCCAACATTACTTACATTGCAAAATCAAGATGATCGGGTGAAGCTTGAAGATTTCACTGTGAAACCCAAGTGGGTACCCTTCGAAGCATCTGTTTCTATGCGCTTCTTTTAGATTAATCGCCAGTTTAAGGAGGCAATAATAGACGGTGGTAATGTTTCGGACATTTACCGATTGGTAGCCACCATTGACGGTTGTGATGTGGTGGTGATGAGAAGTTGTTATGAGTTTGAGCCTGAGTGGCTACAACTTCTAGAGAATATTTACCAAAAACCAATTATTTCTATCGGTCATTTACCCCCAACAACTACTAATGGCGGTTCTGAAGAGTAAAATGAAAACTGGATTGAAATTAAGGAATGGCTTGACACGAAAGAAAAAGGATCGGTTGTGTATGTAGCTTTCGGAAGTGAAACGAAACCAAATCAAGATGAACTCACTGAAATTGCATTAGGTTTGGAGAAGTCGGAATTACCTTTTTTCTGGGCTCTGGGAAGCAACGAAGGGCAGCAGATAATGAGACGACACAGTTCCAGAAGGGTTCGACGAGAGATCAAAGGACATGGGGGTGGTTTGTACAAGTTGGGTACCTCAACTCAAGGTACTGAGCTATGAATCGGTGGGTGGAATCTTGTGTCATTCCGAGCTGAGCTCAGTAGTGGAGGCTTTGCAATTCGGGAAATGGATAATCTTGTTGCCTTTCTCGGCGGAACAAGGAATGAATTCCAGCTTATTGGAGGAAAAGAAGTAGGGACATGAGATAGCGAGAAATGAGTTGGACGGATCATTTATTAAAGACGCAGTTGCTTGCTCACTGAGATTGGTGATGGTGGAAGGAGGAGGTAAAGTTTACACGAAAAAGGTTAAAGAGATGAGAGAAATGTTGTCGAATAAAGATATACAAGATGGTTATATTGATCGATTCTTAGATTATTTAAAAAATCACAAGAATGTTTAAAGTATTCTAATAGGAATATTAGACTTTGCAAGTGAATTATGAATTGGGTTTCGTTTATGCATTACTTGGTTTGTATGTGTTGAGACAGAAACAATAGACAGTGGAGAGATGAAAAGAAGATCTACTTGTATAAGGTATAACTCTCTAGCTTTTCAAGTGATTCTAATATGGGCATTGTTGTTTTTGCCTAGGAGAATTGGGATTTGGGCACTTGGGTGCATCTTTTTATGATATCCAAGAATCTAAGTGTCAAATTTTGTAAGATTTCATGCCAAAAATATAGTTTTAAGGACTTTCCAATTTAGAATCACAATGGAAGGGGATTATTATCCTCAATCTAAGTGTCAAATTTTGTAAGATTTCATGCCAAAAATATGGTTTTAAGGACTTTCCAATTTAGGTGTATAATTCCATACGAATTTTCACTCCATGTTTCATGTCCTCTTCTTCCCTTTATTTTCCAATCCATAATGAATGGAGGTTTTGTGGGAGTTAATGGTGGTTGTAGGGAGTTGTGTTTGAATTTCAAATTCAAACTCCCTCCAACCTTTTTAATAACTTGTGGGTCGGGTCATCCCACATGGGCGACCCACGACCTGTATTTTTCTAACATCTTCCACTTGCACATGATGGGTTTGATCCAAACCATATGGGACAATAAATGTCACACATTAGATCTTTCTCAAGATCTATCTCACAAATGATGGGTATGATAAATAGATTGTGCGACCAGGGAGTAGGGGTAGGCGTGGGTTGGGTTGGTTTTTCTCCCAACCTAACATGGTCGGTTTTGCATAAATTCAACCTAACCCAACCCATGTAAAGATTGAAACCAACCCAACCCAATCCAACCAAATGTCGGTCCGATTGGGTTGGATTGGTCGATTTGTGACGACCTATGTACAAATGTAGAAATGTGACGTATCATGGTTTACCAAAAATACTATTCTGTTGGTGGAGTGATAAATTATAGAAGATACCTAGTTGTATCCATGGTGTTAGCAAGACTGATAAACCTTGGAACCTTTATTCCTCTGTTACTCTTCCAACCCACAACATTTGGCATATTATGATTGGTTTTCCAACCTAAATAAAGTTCACATTTTTAGAAATCTCTGATCATATAAAAACTGCAATTATCTATATGAGATATAGACGAGTTCCAATTGTTTTTGTCAGTAGTAGGACTTCAGTCATTTTGATTACTATACAACCATATAGGATTCCTAATATTTAAATGATATTAACAGACCTTATGACCATTACTTCGGCAGTCTTCAAAGTCAACCAGATGCCTAACAGTAGCAATGGAATTTGAATCAATAGAAACCAGGAAGTATGGAATATTTGCAAGAGATTAGACGATATACCCCCACAAATACAAAGAAAAACATTGACAACGGATCAACAAATGCTCAAGAAATCCTTTTACCTGTTGTTGAGGACAAGTCACGCCACTTGTTACAAGCAGCTGCTACGGACTCAGCCTGTAAGCCACAACATCGTTTAAATCCTTTACCTGTTCTCGACCTTCCTTTTCTTTTTGTTTCCTCTCAAAGCTGCCATCAGTGCAGAAAAAAACCCAATTGAATTAAAACCCAGAAACCCCACTAACTTCAAAACAAACAAAAATAAAAAAAGAACTTAGTTAGAATTCAAATATAACACAAACCCATTTCGATAAAGCAAGATTGAACACCATAGACATTAAGGGAGAATGAGAACTTAGTTAGAATTCAAATATAACACAAACCCATTTTGATAAAGAGAGAAAATGAGGCCGGGTCCTGGGAGTGGAGAAGAGTAAAGAGTTTAGGGTTTGGTTCGTGTGAGTCTGTGATTGCTCTTGTGTTTGTCTTAGTTTTGAGGGATTATATATATATATATATGTATGTATATATATATGTACAGAAATGATCTAATGAGCACCGGTGCTCATCTTATCCTAAGCACCGATGAGTTGGCACATTAATTCATTGGTGGAT